AAAGTACTTTCACCTATCACACGTGGCTTACACTGGTGTTAATGGCCCTACCTTCCTAGGCAGCCTTCCCCAAGACATCCGCTGCTCTTTACCACTTAGCAGAACCGCTCCTAGTTTGCTAAATATCCCGGGAGCACTTCAGGCCACCTCATCCAAAAATGATGTGGCACCATTTAAATGAACTTTGCACCTAGAGGTGCGTCAGTCCCTCAATGTGCATCGAATATCACTTGGTGTGGAGCACAAACCACCACAAAGTAGCAACCAGCCTAGGAAAGCAATGTTCCCGGGAAATATGCTGCTTGAACCGTCACCAATTAGATAACAAACTTCTGGTGATTCTGAAGAGTTAGCTCGATACGCACTGCTATATCCCTCCCATAGGTGCCCGAGTATAAGGCCTTCCCTGCTCCCGTTTTTAAGCCCGCTCCCGTGTACCAGGAGCCAGAGCAGGAGCCCATCTACGCCTGCCGTTCCGTCCAGAAGTACATGAACCAAACTCTGAGCTTTGGACTTAAGGATATTCCTGCTTGCTTTTGATTAAACTTTAGGCATTGAGGTCAAACTAACGTTAATTGGCTCCAAGTTACCAGCACAATCCTTTTCTCTGCTCAGAACTAGTGCGTGAAATATTGACAGGTGCCTGAGATTGCACAGCCTTTATATACGTTATACATGGTCGTTTTGACGCATGTCAATGCATGGTAACGAACTGAGAACGGGCACGTTGGTACGTGAAGTAATACGTCTCCAATTTCGCAAGCACTATGTATATCTGCTTCTTCGCGGCGCACTCGTTTATCTAGCCTTTCCTCTACTGATAGAGGTCAATGACCTTCGAAAACTTCAGATGATCTTGAGTGAACGAAATGACCTCACCGTGTTCACGTGACTTAAATTTGATCTCATTATGCGATATAATGGTATTGGAATATGCTTATGTGCAATATTCGAATTCGGCGCTCAACATTACGAAGTAAAGCCACTTATTTTGAGCTCAATATGTACCTTGCAGAAGGCACCCATGCAGAATAGTCATGCCCTGGACTGACGTGATGTGCTCGCTGGTCATATGGTGGTTACGCTCTGAGGCCGTACTCTTTTCCTTATATGGAAACACCAAAACTACACGGAAATGCGAACAAATAAGCGTGGAATGCAAAAAAAAAACAACAACAAAAACATTGACCTTACCTCAATTCACTGACACACAAGTCTAAAATATGTTAACTGTAAGCACTTTCATGCTTCATTGCAATATCGAACCAAAGCAATGGCAAAGGACCCGCAGCAACGTTGAATGTTCAAATTTTTGCTAAGAGGATGACCTTTAAAAGACCACGCGTCGCTGACAGACGACAATGCAAACGGGCTGTACATATTGTCATTCTCTGTCACTTCTTCGCTGCTGAACACTCAAAATACCAGCCATAAAACTGTTTTATCGACTGCATCGAAGCATTCGTGGCCCCAAGCGTTTGTTGGCAATCGCGGCCAGGCACGCAAAGGCAGGTTCTCATGATCGAGGCTGGGAGTTTTCCGAAATGGTGAGTTAATGTACGTTAACAGATGTTGATGTGAGCAGAAGCTTGTCACCACTTTTCCGTTGTCTGCTATGAAGAGAAATGGACTTAACGGTTATTGTTCTGCCAAGTGACGTTGTCTTTCCTGGAACAGGTGCCTCAGAGCTACCGGAGGTTCTTCGTGACACATTGAAACCCACTGAGCCCATGTAGCTCAATATTTTAGTAGTCCAGTTTTAACATTTCTGGACATCTGGCATCCTTTGCTTCATATCTGGACCAAGCCATCTTGAAAAAGCTTGGTCTACACCGACAAGTCATGACCGGTTTCGACTGATTTCACATACTGCATGACACAACTACTGATAACTTACATCATTGTTGACTGTGTTCAAGGACATGCTATACTGCATTCCCGGCGTAATAGTAAAGATAGTTCCGAAGACAAAGGTGTTCTGAATTCATTCAGTTTACACCCGTTAACACCCGCCTGGGCACCTGGTTGGCTAGTCACGCTGCCAACCAGTACAAGCCTCTACCCGCATACCAGGAGCCCGAGCTGAGATCCATAAACGCCTACCGGGTCGTGAAAAGGACAGCGGCTCAACTCTGAGCTTTAACACACGTTTGGGCAGGGGTCGATTTGACCTTCCCCTCAAAGGTTTTTCCGGACTGATTTTCGAAAGGTGCAGTGAAACCGTGCCAAATTTTCCAGAGTTTTACACAATTCAATAGCGGATCATTTGGGATCCGAAATTGGGATGTACCTAGCGGGGTATCGTTCAACCTGATGGCACAACAGAGTGTTAGATGGAGCCATACATCTCTGTGGTAGTTTGTTAGGTGATATAACAATTGAGTGACAATTTTTTGAAAAAAATGAATTAAAAAATGTAATTGACATAGGGTCAGGTATGAAGGTCAGATCAAGGACAAAACCAATCAATTTCGTCACTCTAGAGGGTGCTGTATGGGATAGTTTCTGGTACTTATTTCGAATTTTTTGGGTGGAGGGAGCCAAATCATACGTTTTTCATAAATATATGATGTCAATAGTCAAGATAGGCTACTGTTCCTAAAATGATGCTGGTCATGGTTTTGTATTTGGGAACATACCACATAGCGTAATATTTAACGCTTACCTAAATGCAAAACTCTAAGCAACTGCATGATATTCGTCACCATGACCTCCGAAAGTTCAAAGGTCAGTGACATCAAATGAGCACCAGTGAATTTTTCCTTAAAAAAGTATCCAGGTTCTGGGGTAATCTGGACAACAATCTGGTGTTGACATTCCGTAACCTTATTTGACCAGGAGATCAAAACCTACGAACCGCGAATGTGATACGGGTGAGTTCACGTCAATGTCAATACGCTCAATCAATTTGGTATCTCTAGCTCTCTTAGTTTTATAGATTCAGGAGGTCAAATGGATCCCCCTCCCGACCCAAGGGTATTCAACTGGCTACCTGGACGTGTGTTAATATATTTATATTACTTAAATTCGGAAGATATTTATGGCGTGAATGTTTTAAATGCTCCACGATTGGATGATATATGTTAAGTACATGCGCATATACAAGTACATGCGCAAGGCAAACATATCCAGCCATATTTTGTGGTTTGTGCATGAAATGAGCATGTACTAGCTTATATATAAGAAACAGGTAAGCTCGACAACAAAACATCACTTGCTTGGTGTAATTTTGCAGGGCTGGTGGTTCCATGTCTGAAGCCACTCTGCGCTCACCAGCTTTCTTTTAATCAAGTATTCGTGGCCATTTCCACGAATTATACAGCCATAGCCGTGTTTGTTGCGATGCATTTGGAGATTTCTGATCGTTGCGTTACGACCTGAGTTCGCAGTCCATCTTGTATAGGGTATTTGTAAGTCCGCCCTGTATAGGGTATTTGACTGGAGCAACCGATCGATTTGCGATAAAAAGACCGGAGGTAGAAGGAAAGCCCGTTCAGCCGGCCACCTGCAGTGACAGATACCGGGCACTTCAGGACGTGATTTAAAGGCACGCAGTTGCATGTAAATACCTGATGTATTAACACGCGCCCGGGTGGTCGGCTAGATACCCTTCGCTCGGGCCAATTTGACGCCTCCCCCCCCCCCCCCCTGAGGTCTCGGGAACTAAGAAAGCTACAGACACCAAATTTACAGGGTGTCTTGACCTGTACATGAACTCACTTAGGTCGAAATTTGAGTTTTCCAGGTCAAATAAGGCCAAAGGCATGGCATGACCTTCAGGTCAAATAAGGCCAAACAAGGTCAAATTTCAGGTTGGTCTCCAAAGTGCCCCCAGAATCTAGGCAACTGTTTCTAAGCAAAAGGTCAAAGGCCCATTTGAGGTCAGTGACCTTGTTTGACCTTTTGAAGCTCATGTTGACCAACATCATACAAGACTGCTCTGAGTTTTGCATTTGAATAAGCGACAACGATTACGCTAGGCAGTATGCTCCTAAAAAAGTATCGACCCAGGTCATCTTGGGTCGATGACCTTTTATGACTTCTAAGAAGTTAATGAAAGATGCACAATGTGGTTCCTGCTGTCAATAAATTCGAAATGAGCACCACAAGCTGTCCCATACAGCAAGCCCTAGAGTAATAAATCAGGTTGGTAGTGGCCTTGGTCTGACCTTCATACCTGACCTTGAGTCAACGTAATTTGCTAAGAAAGCATCTCAGAGATGTAGGGCCTCATCAAACACTCCGTTATTGCGTCAGATTGGACAATTCCCTAGAAATTGCCTTCTCCGAAACCATGGCCTGACTTTGACCTGCCATTGACCAAAGACCTTACAAGACCTCATCGACCTTGTTGATGACAAAGGATCCGCCACTCAATTGTCTTCAGCTATGCAAAATTTGGCGCGGCTAAACTGCGCCGTTCGGAAACCATTCTGCAAAAACCTTCGGGGGGTCAATTTGAACCCCCACCTCACCCAAGCACGTGTTAAAGCAACGCCGGAAATTTCGTGTTTTTGATGTTTCAGGATCTCACGGCAAAACTGATCCATTTTCAAGCCAATAAGTTAGTAGAAAATCACAAAGGCTTGAGAGTGTTTAAATGTAGTTGTTACCATAGCACATGACAAGAAAGGTTTGTAACTATTGTCGTGACCCAAATGCAGCCGATGACAGCCGACGGACACTGACCACACCCATGTTCGTAACCTCCTGTTGGTTCCGAAAGCATCCTCTCAGAGCGCGCCTAGCCCCTCGACCGTAATAAGGCCATGGCTCGCTCCAGACCGGTATAAAAGGGAAAGTGTTTGGCGTCCCGGCATCACTCACCAGCTGACCGTCCAGTCGCACACACACCACCCTCTGTCAGAATGAAGGTCTTCATTGTTGCCGCCCTCATGGCCGTCGCTGCCGCCAGCGACGCCCCGTCTGCCTACCGGGCTCCGTCTGCCTACCACGCCCCTGCCGCCTACAAGGAGCCCGAGTTCGAGCCCTCGCCGTACGCCTTCGACTACTCGGTCAGCGACTACGAGTCGGGCTCCAAGTTCGCCGCCAACGAGAACAGCGACGGCAAGCAGACGTCCGGCTACTACACGGTTGCCCTGCCCGACGGCCGCGTCCAGACGGTCAAGTACACGGTCGACGACTACGCTGGCTACAACGCCGAGGTCACGTACGAGGGCGAGGCCCAGTATCCGGAGGAGCCCGAGTACAAGGCCGCCCCTGCTCCCGTCTACAAGGCTGCTCCCGTCTACAAGCCCGCTCCCGTGTACCAGGAGCCAGAGCAGGAGCCCATCTACGCCTACCGCCCAGTCCAGAAGTACAGCAACTAAGCTCTGAGCTTCAGGATATCACTCTTTTTTAAAACATATTTATTGTGTGACTGGTTTAAAGGCTTCATCGTTTGATGTTCTGAAGCACCAAATACACTGACAATGCAAGCATATCCGGCTGGTTTAGGCTCCTTCCTGCATCACGGAACAGCCGTCTTCGCCTGTTCTTCGGGTAGCGAACAAATAGGGTTCTACGACATTTGTGATGCCACAAAAACTTGTGCCGACAGGAGCACCCGACAACATCTAAATTACATTGTGGTGAGACTGAGAGCTCCGACTACCCGATGCGTGCTTTTGGTATTTGTTAGATACCTCATATCATGGGACCAAAAGTGTCGCGTCTTATTCAAAAAAGGCGACAATTTAGCACGGCTCAATTACACCTGACGAGATCAAATCGGCTCAATTATACCTGACGAGATCAAATCGGCTCAATTATACCTGACGAGATCGAATCGGCTCAATTATACCTGACGAGATCAAATCGGCTCAATTATACCTGACGAGATCAAATGTGACGATGACCATAACCCAGATGCGGGAGACAGCAGCCGCCGGTCACTGGCCGCGTCCATGTCAGATTCTTTGAGGACCTCTGAGCTGATTATTAAATTTCCTTCTGTGATACAGTGTGGAATGGCTACACCGCGCCGTTCGGGGGTTTGCTTCAACCTTGGAGGAGGTTCAAGCAATTGGCGTCACCACCGTAGGCGTGTTTAAACCACTTCCACCATCACACGTGGCTTGCGTTGATGGCAATGGCACTACCTTGAGAAAGCCTTCCACAAGACATCCGCTGCTCTTTACCAATTAGCTGAGCCGCTCTTAGCTCTCTTGAGGTCCTGGGGCTGATTAAGATGACGTCAAATATTTTGCGGGAAGTGCTACCACACGCACCATTTAAGTTATCCTTGTACTTAGAGGTGCGTTAGTCCTTCAATGTGCATCGAATATCTCCTGGTCTGCGGCACAAATCACCACATAGTCGCAACCAGCCTGTGAAAGCAATGTTCTCACGGAATATAGTGCTTGAAACGTCTTTACGTGATAAATTTCTGGTGATTCTGAAAAGTTAGCTCAGTACACGTTATTGCATCCTACGCATAGTATGCGCATTCAAGGTGAGCAACTATGCTGGAAGAAACCATGAATCTTAAATATGTGAGCTATGTTTTATGTCTAAAATTCATCAATTTCAAGGGTTCAAACTAAATGTCAACTTACAAGTTTAAGAACAATGTACTTTTTTATATGTACGAAAGGCCACGACATCTTACCTTCTACGGCATTCTGAACTGTAATTTGGCATGCTGACACTAGTACCTCTAAAATAACCAACATGCCCTGTCATGACGTCGCTGACGATATCATGATTTTTGGGACATCATTTTATCGGTACCTTCCCAAACGTTGGAGGTCAAGTATACTGATAATGGGACCTCTAATGCGCGGTGCGTGTTTGTGGTATTTGCTAGATACCTCGTTACGTGCGTCAAAATTTCGCGTCTGATACCAGATAGTGAAAAATTTAATTCCGACCACCCTCATACACCTGAAAAGATGAGCTGTGACGGTGGCCGTAACCCAAATGTGGGGGATCACAGCCGCCGAACATTGACACCGCCCATCTCCGATTCCTTAAGGATCTCTGTTTCCTGGTGTCTGCCGAGGTCCGAGGATGCTTTTTCCGACAATGCTCACACTGAACACGGCCAGTCGCCCCGATCTCACCAAAGCCATGCGCCGCTCCAGATTCGTATAGAAATGAAAGCGTTCGGTGTCTCGGCATCAGTCAACCGGTGACCCAGGGGTGGCAAAAGTGTACTTTTGTCGCCGACCAAATTTCTGGAGGAAAAATCGTCGCCAGTAGCGTGATGCGATATCATATCACAAAATAGTTTAATTAGTTTTTAGTTTTTAACTATTAGTTTTTTACTCCACTCAGAATGTGGCTATTACAGAACCCGTGTCATGGAAATAAAACACTGTATGTCAGGGAGGCTCGCGCAAACACTTACACACGCAGGCACACGCACGCAAAACGCACTCTCTCACATTCGTTAAATATTCATTAAATAATAGTTCATTAAATAAATAAATAATAGTTCACATTCATTAAATAATAGTTAAAATTACATGCCATTGTAGTCTTGACAAAACAAGGCACACGCCTCTTTATGTTCCACGTCAATACGCTGCATGACTTCGCATATATGAACATGCAAAGCTGATGTTTAGTTTTCAGGAAAATCTGACGTTCACCTTTTTTCTCTCACTTTCGGCTCACTACTCATTTGTTTGTTTTCTTTTTGCGAGGCTTTACCTTTCTTCGCTTGCAAACGTCATGGAATCCCCCTCCCCCACCAGACCGCGTCACAAAAGCCGGCGAATTAGGGTAAGGGTTAAAATTGAAAATTGTTGGCTGCCATCCCTTTTCACTTATTTTAGTTATGCTACGCGAGTTGCGTAGCTATATCCCGCAGCGGCAGATCAATAACGGATAGCGACGCCTACTTCAAATGACTTCAGCGAATGTGAGAGAGTGCGTTTTGCGTGCGTGTGCCGGCGTGTGTAAGTGTTTGCGCGAGCCTCCCTGACATACAGTGTTTTATTTCCATGACACGGGTTCTGTAATAGCCACATTCTGAGTGGAGTGAGCTTAAGACGTGTAATAAACAAATAAATAAATAAGCTGGTTTTAAAATCTGCACTTTAGGTCATGAAAACGTCAACTCCTACACGTTTTTTTCTTCTACCGACGTATCTCTTACATACAGCTCGGTTGGCGCCTTTTGTACCGGAGCACAGCACCTTACACGGGTTTATGGGTTAGCAAGACATTATTAAATTGGGGAAACATTGTAGTAATTTAAGATGTATATTTCACTAACTATTTCACACATGTCGTACCACAGAAATATTTAACAAAAAATCGTGTCCTACCAGTACAACCTATTCAGCCGCATTGCCATGGACCTCCGTTGGGACTTCGTTTTGAAGAGAGGTCACGGTGAGATGCGGTGTTAGGAATGAAATTCTGTGCGTAAACCTGCAATTTGACAGTTCCGCGGGCTGTGCAAGTGTGAGTTCACACTTGTTTAACAAAAGAGTATGAATCACTGGTTTGAAATGTGTGTGATCACTGGTGGTGTGCCAGTGGCTTTTATTGATATTGATGTGATGGGGAGTGTGCGTGCGAAGTTTGCACTTCTGAGAGAAAACATTGTCGGCTGACTCGTAAGCAACACCGTGATCAAACAACCGTTGCCATCTGGGGGCGTTGGTTCCAGGCTTACTGAACTGAGCAAAGTGGCCCCAATCTAATACCGTCAATTGCCGATTAAGTCAACCGCATGATCCAAAAACCAAAACCATGGGAGACAAAAAACATTCCACGTGCTGGACACCATTGCAAACGATTGGTAACTGAGATAATAATGGCCTTCAAACCGCGCAACAATCAAGTCAAGACGCCCATGTTCCGCGTCTAATATTGAAACTGTCGTTAAATTCAGCCATGACCCTTTGGGCCTAATGCTCCCTGAGAAACAATCAGCTGAAAACCACATTAGATTAGTGGCATGCAATCGCCAGCAGCTCCGATCAAGATCACGTACCATATTTACATGGGTAGCCGAGGGTAATTCGAGCTAAGATCGGAACAGATCATGCGACGTTAAACCTCTTGCCGATGTGCGTTTACATGGGCGAGACCGGCATTACGCTCGATTTACGGTCGGTAGTTCGATCCCGCTTAGTTTGGAAAACGAACGGATTATGAGCGTAAATTGCGCTTTTGAGACGAACCGTGCTGTCGGTACTTTGCTTATGCATGGCGAATGTATAGAGCCATGGTGGGCGCGAGGTGGCCGTGAGGGCGAGAAGGAAGACGAATTCCGCCTGAAAAAAATGATCTGTGCGGGACTCATAGGCTTTATAGCCACAGCACAAGCCATAGCACCTGAAGCACAAAAGTTGCCCATGCAGCATTGCCAAGTCTGCGCCATAGTTATAGTCTTATATGAAAATTGTATAGTGAACACAAAGCATGTGAACATTGTGCATTACAAGAAGGAAGATAACATGAGTTTCCACAAAGCAGGAAAAACTTTGTTACGAATGTTCCAGCACATGTTTTTGCTAGACATAATTCTTTTCATCACAGGAACACAATCAAGAATGACAAGGAAATGAACTGCTTATTAAAACTGTAAGACATTTCATGACAATGGCAGAGATGATGTTAAACCAACATGTGCTAGTCAACCCATACAAGACAATGGCTCCAAAAAAAGTGCAAGCAAGGCTACTTCCTCCCATTCTGCAATGTGGATCGTGGCTTGGTGTTCTGACTGGCATTATTTAGGATGGCATTTGAGATGCACCTGGAGCTTGTGACACATGAGTATTTGCTGTCATGCGAGGGCTGGCGGGAAATGAGCATTTTCTTACATCGGCCAATTATATTCACAAACTAACCACACTCTGATGAGATGGGCCACCAAGCATTATGTCCCGTACTTTGCTCCGCCCCAGAAACGTATCACCTACTCCCACACTATTGCGGTTATGAGCAGCTTGCAACAATGAGGTAAGCTACTGAAATGACTGCTGAAAGATACGCAACAAGTGGCACAACTTGTGCAATTACGTTTCGCATCCCCTGTACAATGCAGCATCAGTACCTGAGGGCAGCATTTTCATTCAGACTAGGCATGAGCTGACGAGTCAGAATGCAGCTATTTGCTTGCTTGGCATACCAGGGTTGAAATGCTGCCTTAATATCTTTGCATTCAACAGCATTGGGCTGATATGAACTAATGGCTGGGTGACACAGACAGCTGCGTTTGCACAGTCCAAAGATCACGATACACGAACCAGCAAGAAGGCTGTGTCATGACGAAAGCAGGCTTAACTCAAAATGAATAACATACTATTCATTATGACAAGAGCTAAATGAACTACATCATGGCTTGCAAAGACATCCATCACAAAAAGGCACCAAGGTAGCATATCTACTCACCCGTACAAACACAACCAGTGTTATGCAACAAAGACATGCCATGCAGTACACGCCATTGTGTTAAGTATTA